AGAGCCACTTCATACTGAAGAGATTACAGCCAGGATTCTTGTAAGAACTGACATCTAAACTGAAACTGGAAGGACTTGTAGCATCTGAATGGTAGGAAATGGGGGTTCTTATTTATATGATAATTACCATTCATTGAGAATATACCACATTCCAAGTATTGTTCCAGGAATGATTCATAGACCAAGGACATCTAGACCTCTCCTCCCTACTTGACTCTCCCTGTTCCGTCCCACAGTGGTTGATGTATCTAGGAGCTTCAGTGTGGAAAATGGAAGAAGCAGGAGGGTGTGGGGTTTGGGGGAGAGAGGTGGCAAGGCATCTGTTCCCATTCCAAGCCCTGGCCGAGATATCCCTTTAGCCGAGAGGGTGGAAGCAAGTTCCAGAACCTCTGTGAGTTTTGTTTTTATGTGACACCAGGTGAGGAACTAGTTAGAACGACTCTGAGAGGCTCTGCATATTTGGGACTGAGACAGCTTAGAGCCAGAGCAGACCATTCTCCCCTCCTCGCCACAGAAACAAGCCACATGGAGGCTTCCCAAGAACCAGGCTCTCTGGGAGCATTAAGAGTCAACGCCCTTGGCATGGGCTATGTTATCCTGATGGACAGTGACCCTGGATAAACTTCAGCCTTGGCAAAACCTCAGCAAGTGGCCTTGCAAGCAGATACTAGACATGTGGGAGCTAGGGCAGAAAAAAATAACAGGACAGAAGCCCACAGCAACTGCAAAAGAAACAAGTTGGCAAGAGAACTTCTTTGAGGATGTCTAGAAATAACTGGAAATACTTTGAAGGGAGTTAATCTCCTGAAGTCAAGTATGATGAAAATTCATGCCATAAAAATTGAAATATAAAAATAATGTGAGCCCTAGCTGGTTTCAGTCAATGGATAGAGCACTAGCCTGAGGGCTGACGGGCATCAGGTTCAATTCCAGTCAAGGGCACGTACCTCCGTTGCAGGCTCTATTCCCCTCCCAGGTAGGGGTGCATGTGTGAGGTAACCGATAGGTGTGTCTCTCTCACATGATGTTTCTCTCTCTGTCTCTCCCCCGCCCTTCTGCTCTCTAAAAACCAATGGGGAAAAAATATCCTCAGGTGAGGATTAACAACAAAAAAGCACACCCAAAAAAGAATGTGAGATCTTGTTCTGTGATGAGGCCTAGAACATACAGGTTAGACACAGATTTTCCCATTTAATCCAACTAAAAACCACCATTATCCCCACTTCAGAGGCAAGAAAAGGAGAAGCCAGGGAATTTCTCCCCGTCTTTGTGCTTCAGGCCTTATCTGTGGCAGTGACTTTCTCTTCTATAAACCTACTCTTACTGCAAGGCCTGCTATCACCCCAGCTTCTGCCTGGTGAGCCTGGATCTTTTTGATTTTTAAGCTTTAGGCAGTGGTAGCACCTTCCTACTCTTAACCTCAAGGATTTCACATGGTCTACTTTAGGCTTCTTAGCTCTGTCATCTCCTGTGTAACCAATTCCTTGAACGAAATTCTCTCTGTTTAAAATATCAAGAATATTTTCTGGACCCTGGCTGATATAGTAAACATATCAGAGAGCCACAACCTTCCCAGGAAAGTAGGAGGACAATGAATGTAAACATGACTTGCATACCATAAGTACTGAATAAATGTTTGTTGGATCTATCACTCTTCTGAGCTTGTTGCTTCCTGACATGGGGGCCTCCAGCTCCCCAGCCACCAGTGTTCTGACATGCTTTCTGGCCCAGCTTGCCTTTCTCAACCTGCAGATCACAAAGAGCGTGTAGGCAATATTCGATTGCAACACTTGATTTTCCTACTGACTTGTTCTTCTGCTGTAGCTGTTTTCTTAATACCCGTCCCTGAATAGGGCAAGTATCTACTTTCTATGTTCCTGCTTGTTTACTGTAGAAGCACTACTTGGCCCAAAGTTTCTTCTCCTGGGCTGTTCATCTGCTCTACTCATTATTTCCATAGTACCCATTTCCAACAATCCTGCCCCCAGATCTTTCCGGAGTCCCTTGAATCTGCTAAGGTTCATATCAGTTTAAAATTAATGCAAAGGAAATCCACTAAGAATCAGAGCCCAAAAATAAATTTGTGACAACATGCTATAATTTCACACATGGAATCATAAAAATATGAAATGGGTTTATAAAAATGAAATAAAGTGCTGATATATAAAACCTGACACAGAAAAATCAGTAAGTTATTAAAGTGATTATCCACAAAATAATTCACTGCATTTTTCACTTTAGAGTAGCAAACTCCTACCAACACTTAGAATGTAATTCAATTTATGAAGTTTCCATTTGCCCACAACTCTTCAGGACTACCTACCTTTACAAACTGAGTTTCATCTCAAATATATTTTGAGGTCTAATACCAATGATTTAAATACATATTAGGGCATTTCAGACAGAGATTCAGTGTTCTAATTCATGCTTTTTTTCTTTTTTTTTTAAGTTGGCATGCAGTTTAGCCTAGTTGTTAACTACAAAGGTATGGTAATATTGTATTACTAGAGGCCCGGTGCACGAAAATTCGTGCACTGGGGAGGGGGGTCCCTCAGCATGGCCTGCCCCCTCTTACAGTCCAGGAGCCCTCAGGGGATGTCCTACTGATGGGAGCGGGCCTAAGCCACAGTCTGGCCTCCCTCTGCAGGAAGCAACCGGGCTGATCAGGGGAAGGTGCCACCATCACCCCGCAGCCGCTGCCGGCCACCACGGCTTTGTCTGGAAGGACATTCGGCTGTCTGGTCTAATTAGCATATTATGCTTTTATTATTATAAATTGGGTATGATTCTATCCTATACTCTATCCATGTCCTTGGCCATTGTCTTTGGGATTCCTCCCAGGTGGAAGGTTAGATTTGCAGGTAATAATTATTGAGGAGTGTTCTTAGGAACAGAACTTTTAACAGAGTGAGGGAAGCAAGATTAGACAGAGAGAAAAATGGGACTGAGGCTTCAGCCAACCCAATGGAAAGCCCTGGAGTTGGGAAAGCCCTTCATAGATGTTTTGAATTGAGGCAAGGGGTCCAGTCTTTGTGCCCTCACATATGACCAGACATTGCATGTGAGTTGCTCAAAGGGGCACCTTTGGGCAAAGGAGTATCCTTCCACTGAGGGCAGTTCCTGGTAGACAGTGGGGATGGGGAACCTGAATTGAGGGTTGAAGTGGGAGTCAGGGGTGGAGATATCTGTGAGCCATCATCAACAAACATTCCTGGCAGATGAGGGAATAAGTGGTTCTGAAAGGGGGATGAGGAGGTGCAGCACAGCATCCACTACAACCCATAGAGGTGGAATATTATCTGTTTGCTACTTGACATTGGGCTTGGCCTTGTGACTTGCATTGATCAATGGAATGGGGCAGAAGTGAGTATGCCAGTTCCAAGCACAGGCCTTAAGAAACCTTGTGTATTTCCAGTTTCCATCTTATTCATGTCCAGGCTAACCTGCTGATCTCAGGCAGAACTTGAGAGGCACATAGAGCAGAGCTACCCCAGCCAGCCACCTAGCCTACATCAGCCAGCCTAGATTCTCAACCCTCACGATGACCCACAGACACTTCAGAAACAAATGTGCCCTTTGTATGATGTGATTAGTTATTCACTGATAGCAACTTGATATAACAGGCTCGATGCAATGGTCAAATATTTTCCAACATCCAGAACCTCTGGCTAGTGATGGTTAACTTTATGTGTCAACTGGACTGGCTTCAGGGTACCCAGATTAAACATTACTTCTGGGTGTGTCTGTGAGGGTGTTTCCTGATAATATTAGTATTTGAATCAGCAGACACAGTAAATTGCCCTCCCCGGTGTGGGTGGACCTGAATAGAACAAAAGCCAGAAGAAGAAGGAAGTCATCCCTTTTATTTCCTGCCTCACTACTTGACTTGGGGCATCTCAGGACATCTTCTCCTGACCTCGGACTGGGACTTATGATATCAGCTTCTCTGGTTCACAGGCCACTGGACTTGGACTGAATTACAGCACTGACTTTCTTGGTTCTCCAGCTTGCAGATAGAGGATATAATCTTCTTATGGGACTTCTCTGCTTCCATAAATGTCTGATCCAATTCTTCATAATAAATACATATTTCTTATTAGTCCTGTTTTTTTTTGGAAAAGTTGACTAATACAACGACTTATTTGTGACCTTGAATAATTTACCCAACTTTTTCCTCTAAGACTCAAGTTCACCCTTGATATAGAAAGAATGATGTCTGCTCTATAATGGTGTGAGTTTAGTATCGAGCATGACAACTCACAGGCACTCATTTACTATGAGTTATGGTCAATAGTCATGCGCTTTCATTTCTAGTGGCAAAAATCATGAACTTAGAAGATATTTATTTCTAGTTGCAAAAATCACAAGCCTAGAAAATATTGGTAAGTAAAGGAGGGTAGCAAAGGAAGGGTAGCTCCCACTGCTCTCCAATTTCTTAGGCAGCTCCTGTCCTAGGTGATGGTGATGGCAGAGTAGGGTCCAGCAGTGTCAATGGTAAATGGAGGATCTGGCCTCTGATTCTCTGATTCCTGAACCACTGAGCCAAAGATAATATCAGATGGAAGAGGCAAGAAAGAACAGGGGACAGGCGCCTCCAGTTCTACACTGGTCTTTTCCTTTGGCTTTCAGGCACCCGAGCCTTCTAAACTTTACATGATATGATGTTTTGATGCACCAAAAATAGCCTGTGGGGCCCCCACTGTGCAGCTACTTCAAACATTGCTGAAGGTGGAAAATTTTTGCTCACTGAAATACTTCTGCCAAGTTTTGGCAGTGTGGCAGGGTGCTTTGCTTTTTCTCTCTTCCTTTTAAAGCTGACAAGGAAAACAAACTGCAGAAATAATGTTAACCAAATAAAGAGACACTACGCTTTTTTTTAAAACCTCATTTGCGTCAGAAAATTTATTCCCTAATGAGCCATAACCAGATGAGACTACACATATCCCAAGTCTTACAAGAGAAAGTTTCAATTACAGACTTCATATTTTATGACCAGTGTGTCCAAATATTGGTCCCAAGGAGAGCTGAGACTTTGAAAATTTTCACTTCCCTACCTCCGAAATCTTCACCATGGCTCACTACTCCCAATTATTAGGTTATTTTATTTTAAAAATGAATGAAACTGAGGGACATTCCCCTTCACTTTCCAAATTCCTAAAACAGCTACTCTTTGTTTTTAATCGTGTTGCAAAAAAAGAAAAGAAAACAATACATTCATGAAACATTACAAAAGACCAACAGAGAGAGGCAAGTGCAACATATTGGAGAGGACCCTGGGGAAGGGCTTCTCAAACTTTTATGCCAAGATACCTTCACAAAAAAGGAGAACCGAAAAAATTTGCCCCTGGGACATCAGGAAGTATAAATCAAAATGAAAATAGGTAACATTAGTGAGAGCTCACCATGTACCAGCCACTGTCCCAACATTTAACTTATACTTGTGACTTATGCTCATAACCCTATAAGGCAGACGATATTATGATTTCCATTTTATAAATGAGGAGACTGAGAAACTAAGACACAAAGAGGTTAAGCTACTTGCCCAAGGACACATAGTTAGAGAAAAATGGAGCTAGGATTCGAAGTCTTGCTCCAAAGTCTATGGTTTCAACCACAAGTGCTATAAGTGGTCTACCACCAGCTCCAAACTTCATAAAACTTTACCGTAAAAATACAAATGAATATCTCATCCTATTCCATAATCTTTTCACATTTAATATAAAAAATACTTTTTTCAAGGACTTTAATCTACATTTTTAAATGCTCTACTGCTTTTTTTTTTAAGTTTATAGTTTATCAATCCTCTCATGAAAAATCTGCACAACCTTCACAGATAAAGTCACCAAAGAATCTTTACTCCTTCTGTTTGCCAGCACCAACATTGGCCTTTGCAGTCCCCCTGGCTTTCTTCATTCTGTTCTTGCGTTCCTTTCTCTGTTTTCTTGAGGTCTTCTTTTTCTCATATAGGCCATGTCTTGCCAGTCTGTGTTTGGGTTCATTTTTCTTTCCATAATCCAAGGAATCATAAATCATGCCAAAGCCAGTGGTCTTGCTACCACCAAAGTGGGTTCTGAATACAAACACAAAGATGACATCAGTTGTGGTCTTATACATTTTGGCTAGTTTTTCCCGAATTTCTGTCTTGGATTCTGTTGCCTTCCCAGGGTGAAGGACATCAATGACCATTTGCTTCCACTGAAGTAGTCTGTTGGTCATGAACTTCCTGGTCCAGATAGTTACCGTGTCATTCATGATGAAGTTTGATCTTCAAGTAGCCAGGGAGGAAAAAGCTAAATGCCCTACTTCTTCAAGTAAAACTGATGCTAAGTATTTGAGGTTGTGTGCTCAATTTGATAAGTATTGGCCTAGGAGAGCTAAGTTGCTCAATAAAAGTTAAAATACCTTTATTGTTTCAGTCAGAATTAATGTGTCCAATTAACCAAATATTTAAGAAAGAAGCTCAGTTTCTTCCACAGTGTCAAAGCAACTGATTCTAAAGGATTGTGGATAAAAGGGAATTGAGCAAAATAGATGAAGTGAGTAATTTAGCAGGAGAGAGGAGACTAACACATTAGGTAGATGAAGTTTACCAACTCAAAATAAGCATAAGACTTGACATAAGGCAGAGCATCTTATAATCAGGATATTTGTAGTTTATACTGAAATTTAAGACCATTTGATAGAGAATGAGAGAGGAAGAAAGAGAATATGTGTGTGTGTGTAAGAGGGAGAGAGAACATTTGGAGAAGGAACAAAAAGTCTGTTTTTGTAACATAAGGTAAAGCAATTTACTGGGGGGGGGGGGAATTACAGGATTTAGACCCAATTCAACCATGAATGAGAATATTATATGTAATCTATATATATCTATATATGTCTATATATATAAAAGGCTAAGCGACTGTCTGGCCCACCAACCGTCCAACTAGTAGCTATGACACACAATGACCACTAGGGGTCAGACACTCAACACAGGAGCTGCCAAACTGCAGTGACTTGGTAGTGGTGGTTCTTGGGTGATGCACCCTGGAACCAGAGAGGAAGGAGCCCAATTCCCAGGTGCGTCACCCGAGAACCACCCCCTCGCAATCTGGGATCCCTCAGGGGATGTCAGACTGCCAGTTTTGGCCCCATCCCCACAGGCCAGACCAAAGGACCTCACCTGAGGGAGGGATCCCACTCACTCTGCAGACATCAGTGCAGCCGGTCAGGGAGGAATTGCGGGAGGTTGGCTCCAGGGCATGTCAGGCCCAACTCGCCCAGTCCCACCTCACGGCCACCTTCTAATTAATTGCCTTTCAATTTGCACGAATAATAGTACAATTTATGTGTTTTCATCAAATCTAAGATACCATCAATTATAAGATTCATTTAAATTTCAAAGATTTAAAATGTTTTTTTTAATTTGATCTTAGAACTGATGAAATGCAATAATTTGTCTGAATCCCACTTGCAAATTGAAGATAATACATAATACAGCCCTGCAGAGTACTGATGAGGGATAAATGAGGTAACATGTGCCTAACATATGGTAACTCCTTAGGAAACATAAAAAGTATAATTATTTCCACCTCTTCTTGCCAAAAGCAAGTTAATATCCTTCTTCCCCAAAATAATATTTTAATTTTTACTGCAAAAGTTTAGATCACAAAAAGGGGCATTCACCTCATCACAAATGAAAACAACATGCCAATGGATAAAGCAAGACAGTATTCACCCTCCCCAGATTTTTCTATGCTTTCAGAACAAATATATGTGTGTGAGAGTCTGCACATATATATAAAGTGATAAATCTCTTCAAAATACACTTTTAAATGTACTTATGTGAGCACTCTTACAGTTTTTTGCACTGTGTAATAAATAAAGAAACACATTAGAAGGGACACAATTTATTAATTCTTTTTTAAAGGTGTGAGGTACTGCCAATGAAATGAATATAAATTCCAGCATTCCCATACTTAAGAGCATTAGAACTAGTAGTGTTTGATTCATATCTGTGTCGCCCATAATAAACTTGACACTTTTTCTGATCATCTTAACTAGATGTAGTCTTCCCCACCTTTACAAGTTCAAGGGTTTCTATATGCTTATAGTTTTCATGGGACACTACTGCTTACTGTGGTTCCCAGACCAGCAGTATTAGCATCATCTAGGAACTTGTTAGACATGCAAATTCTAGGCTCCACTCCAGATCTACTGAATCAGAAACTGGAGGGAGGGCTCAGAAATCAGTGCTTTAATAAGCCTTCCCATTGAAGCAATGCTTGCTGAAGCTTGAGAGCCACTTGTTCAGAAGTTGCCATGGAAAAAACTGAACAAGTCAGCACCCACCCATTTATCATCACAACCAATTTTTTGTTAGTCTACTTTGAGATTAGATTTCATCAAAACCAAGACCTAGAGGAAGCATTATGGAGAAAGGCTGGGGGATAGAAGAGAGTGTTTACAATGGAACAAGGGTTCCAGAGACAGCCCTGGATGTTGACTCTCTTCCATCCTATCCTAAGCCATTGTGTGGGCTCAGCCATCCTTGTAGAAACTAGTGATAGGTGTATACAGGGAGATAGCTGCGTTAATAATTATGATATCACCATTTTAAAATTACCATAATTATACTATTAATAACTATATAATTAATACCTATTAATCCATTTTCAATCCTAAAAATCAGCAGGACAAGCTCGATGGTCTCCCAGTGCTGATGGGTGGAGCATCCGTTTGCACAACTCCAGTATCAGATGGAACAGGTAGGACCCTACGAACTAACAGTTTTTCAATTTATTCTCAGACTAACCAAATCAGTCCAGTAGCATATTAAACCCACAAACCTAAAAAGCACTTAGGCTCACAGAGGTAGTATAAACTTTCTGATTTATACACCAAGTTTTTTAAAATATATTTTTATTGATTTTAGAGAGGAAGGGAGAGGGAGAGAAAGATAGAAACATCAATGATGAGAGAGAATCATTGATTGGCTGCCTCCTGCATGCCCCTACTGGGGATAGAGCCCACCGCCCAGGCATGTGCCCCTGACCGGAATTGAACCCAGGACCCTTCAGCCTGCAGGCAGACGCTCTATCCACCGAGCCAAACCAGCTAGGGCTATTCACAAGTTTGTACTCATGGTCTCCTCCTTGCTGTGATGCAACCCCCTCCCAAACCACCACTAAGATCATTCTCCAAATGGAGCTAACTATACTATGGGTGACTTCAGCCCTAATTACACAGGTTACTTCACTCTTACTACTGTTTACTTCATGTGTATGCTGTTTTTCTTAGGAAAATGAGGAGGGGATCCTGAAACTCAGACAACTCATCCTCCTGGCTAAACTTCAGCTTTGCTCTTGGTTCTCAGCACTCTTGAGTCACAGGAATGTAAACACTGGGAAACCTCAACCTCTTTGTCTTGTCTCTTATTTCCAATGTCTCCATGAATTTACTGGCCTAACATATCTTATTTCTAATAACTCCTAAACCAAACACATTTCTTCCCTTCAATAAAATAGATCTCCTTTCTGATCAATGCAACCCAGAGTGGGCCAGGCAAGAAAATGAGATGAGGCATCCATAATGAAAAGGGTGAAGACTGAGACAGTAGAGAGCTGCAATGGGAATGCCCAGTTAGCCAATTTACTAATGTGTGTCAGTACAGAGTTTTGATTGAGGCAAGAGCTTGGAAAATTAGACAGACTTGGGTTCCAAAATTAGATAAGCTAGTTCTTAGCTGTGTGATCTTGGAAATAATAATAGTAGGTTCATAGGCTTGTGAAGATTTGTGTGTGTGTTCTTTGGCTTGTGTTGAAGATTAAATGATGACGCACATAAAAGTGCACAGCAGAATTCCCAGTACATGGTGAACCTCAATAAATAGTGACTTGGAGTTTCCGTTTCTTATGAATAAACTACACCATCCCTTACCAATTAAAAGACAATGCACAATACAGATTTAAGTGATAACTGAGTTTTTATTGCCTTCTATAAATATAAAAATATTCCCGAGGAATAGGATTCAGGAAGGAATTAGTCACTACTATGTTGTAATGAATCCAAAGGGAGAAAACATGGTCTTTATCCTCAATGGAACAAGACATGGCATTTTTTTAAGACTTTATTTTTCAGAGGAATTAGGTCTCAGAGGAATTGAGGGTATGTATAGAGAGTTCCCATATATTCCCTGCCTCCACACATGCATAGCCTCCCCCATTTTCAATATCACTCACCAGAAGGGTACATTTTTTACCAAGGATGAGCCTATATTGATATTTACCCAAAGTGTACAGTTTACTATACAATTCACTCTTGGTGGTGTACATTCTATGGATTTTGACTTAAGTATAATGGCATGCATCTATTATTAAAGTATTGTACAGAGTATTTTCACAGTCCCAAAAATTCTTTATGCTCTGCCTATTCATTTCTCCCCACTCTCACCCTGGCAACTATTGACTTTTATTTTCCCCATTATTGTGCCTTTTCCAGAATTTCCTATAGTTGGAGTCATATAATATCTAGCATTTTCAGATTGGCTTCTTTCGCTTAGTAATGTATACATTTAAGGCTCATCCATGTCTTTTTATGGTTTGAAGGGTCCCCGGTTCAGTTTTGGTCAAGAGCACATGCCCAGGTTGTGGGCTCAATCCCCAGTAGGAGGTGTGCAGGAGGCAGCTGATCAATGATTCTCTCTCATCATTGATGTTTCTATCTCTCCCTCTCCCTTCCTCTCTGAAACCAATAAAAATATTATATATATATATATATATATATATATATATATATATATATATATATACACACACACACACACACATATACATATAGTAAGTTAGGCTATATCACCTCTAAATATCCCTTCAAACTCATAGATTCCTTAATGAAAGTAAGACTTAAAAAAACAACACTTGTCTATAGGTGATCTGCAAGATGATCAATGGAAAAGGGAAAATGGAAGCAGAGAGGTCAGTTTTAAATCTCATACTTAGCATCTACATAATAGGTGCCTAAATGTGGGATTAGGGAAGAAACAGAAAATAAAATACGGCAGAGAGGAAGATGACGAGAGAGAGCAATAATAACTGATTGTATGAATCATGCCTTTTTATTCCCTGTGATAGTAAAGACTAGCCTGTGAGCATGACTTTATATGCAAACCAACCAATCCAGATCCCACACTGCAACTACCTCCTTTATAGGGAGGGCTCTCACAGGCTCTCACAGGGACCCATTATCCACTTGCCCTAATTACCAAAGGGCCA